TGAAAACATTCTTTATAGCCAAGGGTTTAAGTTAAGTTTTAGTAAAAGCGTTGGAGTAGATTGGAGAGTTCTTGGACTTTGGTTAAATATCAAAGAAAACTGTATTGACATAATTGATCATGATAAACCCAATACCCTTGAAAAAGCATATAAAATGCTAACTACGTGGATGGAAATGAATGATAATCCAACTCTTGAGGAGTTAAAAACAGCTTTAAAGAACATGGATAGAATGGATCTAATAAGAAAAATAGATGAATTAACAAGTAATTAAGTTATAGTAATAATAATAAGTTTTTTATTTTATGGATTTGAAATATTTTACATTAAAAATTATTATTCAAAAATAAAGATTATAATATTCTATTTCAATGTGATGCTCCTTGACGGCCGGATCGCAAACTATTTAAATAAGGCTAATTTAAGTTGGTTATAATGTAACCTATGGCCTTAATCTTCAAAAAAAAAAGTTTTATAAAAAACTTAACAGTGTTATTCTAATGTTTTGTAAATTATAAATCAATTTTCATTTTTCCTTAAATAATCTTAGGTAACTTATTTATTAAAACTTATTTATTAAAGTTTATCTGGTTTAAAAATTAGTACAAGTTCAGAAGGAGTTTTTTCTTTTAAGTAACTAAGAAACGATAAAAGGTAATTTTGTTCTGGCTACTTGACCACACAAAAAACCACTGTTATCACCAAGTTCTCTAAATCTATCATTCAATAATATTTTTCATAGTAAATTTTCTTCTGATTAGTCTTATCTCTTGCAAAGTTCACAACATTATCTGAAGCACCCTTAGGTGTTTCTGATTACGGTTTGATCTCTCTAAAACTATTATATAATTCTTTTCCATCGACAGGTTCTTCCATTTTATTTCATTTGAACTCTTACAACTACCATAAAGCTTACTGAGTTTCTTTCCATGAGTTTCTTTGTGATGGCCCTTGGGTAGAAATCTTTCGTTTTCCTGCTGACATATGTGTTTTTTATGTAACTTCTTAAATTTAGGCTGGCATGGAAACTTTTATCACCTCTTAACAATTCCAAGTCAAGTCTCACTCTTCTCCATAGTTTTCCTCTTATTGTACTGCTGCAGTTGCTAATCATAACCATTACGATTGTAACTATCTTCCATACCAAAAAAATTCTTCAGGAATTGTGACCTGAGAATAACCAATGCTATTCTCAGGTCACAAAATTTCATCTGAAAAATTAGGTTCCCAAGGCTTCTAGGGAATCTTAAACAGTTTCTATAATAAAGGTAAATCTATTATTCCTCCTTACTTGCATGGTTAAGAATTTGTTATCTCACTTCAAGACAACGCTGAGCTGTTTGCTTAACACTTTTCACTAATCTTATCTCTTGTTTCCACTAATCACATGATATAGCTGACAAATAGGGTAATCTAAAGTGATTTCCTGTTTAAATTTTTCTACAACTTGTGGTCTGGACAACATACCTGTTATATTCTCGCAAAAGTGTTCTCCGGTTCTTTTACACTTTCAAAACTGTTTAACAAAAATAATTACCAAGAAATTTTACAAAAGATTATGTTGTTTTATGGTTTTATTGATTAAGTTTAATGGAGTAGGATTTTTTTGAATAATTTATTTAATTTCTATAGCATCTAGATTTTGAAAACCCTGTCAATCATCCACTTACCAATAGTTGTAGCGTTGCATCTCTTTTATACAAATACTTATATGGTCTACAAATTACTCCTGTTATTTCCACCATAACTCACTTAACAACCATAACTCAACCATTCAACACAGTTGTAATTTTTTACTTTTTTTTCTTCAGAAGTAAAACTGAAACATATTTCTTCATTTTTTAAAAATTTTTTTTCTTTTTTATTTATCTAGATTCTTTCCTTGCGCATCAATGCTTTTGAATTCTCTCCTACCTTAAGTTTTTCCTGACTATTAGAAAAATCAGTTTTTTAAGTCTTCTGTCAACTATTTTCTTTGTCTTAAAAATTATTTGTTGTTTTATGGCCCCAACTTACATAGTGGTTACTTGCAGATATGTTCGATACGAATTGATAAAAAAAGGTTTATGGATTTGAAGTGTAAATCAAGGTTTGTGGCACTTGTGTCTTTGATTTAAAAAAATATACCATTAAATAAAACTATATTTATGTATTTGATTTAAAAATAGAATTAAATTAAACTATATTTGTACATTTGAAACAGATTTGATTTGAAAATAGCATTAAACAAAACTATATTTAGAGAATTTATCTCTGTTTTTACTAAGAACATTTAGTTACTTATTTATTATTTTCTTAGGTTTTTATTATTATAAGTTTTATGGCTATGAAAAATATGTTCAAAACCATAACATATTTAAGTAATAATAATAATTGTTAACTTTAGGAATTTAGTTCTGTTTTTACTAAGAACTTTTAGTTTCATATTTCTTATTTTCTCAGTACTTTTTTCATAGGTTTCAATTCTATATTGTTTAAAAGCACATATTTAAGTAATATTAATTATTTTTAACAAAAAGTTTAAAAGAAATTAACTTTATAAACCATATAAGTTTTGCAACTTTTGTAGCATTTCCACATAAAATATTGTTAGGAAAAAAATTTTTTTGCATTTGAATTCAATTCAGTTTGTTAATAAAATGTCATTTAATGTTATTTAAATAAAATTTTGTTTGTCAATTAATATTTTGATATTGCTAGTAATAAAAGATTTGCTAACAAAAACTATACATTGTTTTTTACATTTGTTATTTTATCCAGTTTTTGTGTTTCTTTGCTCAAAAAAAAATTAAATTAAAAAATTATTTATAATAAAATTGAATCATTTAGAAACTTTGAGTTCACCAGAAAGTTCTACTAGAACTTCTTGTAAGAAAGGTAATTATAATGTTTGTTTTATTTAAAATTACTCAACATTTACCTCTGAGATGTTTTGTGACACAAAACATTTTAAATGTCAAGTACTTTGTTACAGTGTTGTAAAAATAATTTTTTTTTTTTTTTTTTTATGTTAAATGTTTTTCTCATGTCTTTTTGAATTAAAGATTTCTTTTTTTTACTTTTAACTATTAAAGTTAAAATCCTAAAAATGTAACATTTTAATGATATATATTTTTAATCCTTTTTTAGTTTATTAGTTTAGTATATTAACTTTTTTTTATTATGACCTACATGCTTAGTTTTGCTGCTTGTTTTATTTTTGTTACAAATCAATAATTCTCTTTATGTCTTTAAATAAAGAAGATGCTTTAAAAGCTAAAATAGTTTCCTTTTTGATTTACGTTCATTACAATTTTTCGAAAAAAAAATCTTTGAGAATTCCTTTTTCTGACAAGAAAATGTTCTCAATGAAATATATAATTGTCAAAAGAATCAAGTTTCCAAATCATGTTGATGCTGATAAAAATCATGGTATTAAATTATGGTTGGAAGTTTTTTCAGAAGACATGTTTTTGGTTGTATTAAATAATGACACAGTAAATCATCATTGATGAAGTTCTAGATTACAGAAAATAACTTATTTAGAGATGATTGGATGTTTCAGTAAGGTGGTTACCAAACCTCATACTCAAAAAACTTTCTCTGAAATTGTGTAACAATCATTTTTTAAATTAATTGACGAAAATCTTTGCCCAAATTCTCTCGACCCTTCAGAGACAGTTTATTTAAGACTAATTTGTTCACCGAATTAACTGAAGCAAAAAGTCTAAGAAAAATTTAAGTGCAGAGTTAGATTGAGTGAAAAACTTACTGGATGGAAAGCAAAATAAAAATATTTGGTTCTTTATGTGAAACAAGTTATGTGCATTTATAAGTTAGTTTAGTTGGGTTACTTGTTCTATCATTGTTACTGATCATTAATTTTGTTTTATGTGTCAGTAGCTCATGTAAGTCCATATCATTGTTTGCTTTATAGCAATATTTTAAATATTTCCATCTAATACTGTTTGAATAACGCAATTTTGTTATATTCATATATCAAATGTTACATTAATTAATTTTTTTTAGAAACTTAACTTAATGATATTAAAAAAAAATTGAACTAGTTATTTTTTAATTTTTTTAAAACTGAGTTTTTACTTTAGTATTTTTTTAGTTTTTAGTTTATATTAATGAACTATAGTTTTAAGAGGGGGTTGTATCAACAATGTTTAAAAATTTAAATTTAAAAAATTTATGTAGTGAATTTGTTTAAAAATAAATATAAATATTGGAAGAAAATACTGACTTTGCACACAAAGAGCATAACAGTAGATGTTCTAGGTTTTTAAAGTACTAGAGAAAGTTTCAGGATTTATAGCATGTACAGTTGCATGAAAAGTATAAGAATTATCTATAGATTTTATCGATTTCACAGTTTAAAACATGTGTGTTTAGGTCTTTTTGTTAAGTTTATTAAAATTTTATTTTAAAAACTTCACAAAATAACTTAAAAAAGATCTTAGCCATTAAACTAAACATGCAAGGCCATGTTCAGGATTCTTATTGAGTTTAACCACTCATTTGGCTTAAAATTATCTGGTTTTATTGCAATATTTAGTTAGTCTTGTTGCAGTGTTTGCTCAGTTTTGTTTTAATTTTCACATGCACAATTTTCATCTTTATTATTATTCAGAGAATATTTTCATATCCTTCATTAAATGTTCACATATATGCCGCTTTAATTGAAAAAATAAATCAAAAAATTGTTTTCTAAACACCAATATAAATGAAGATATACATCACCAGACAAAAACTTATAAAACAAAAAACCGATCACAAAATAAAAAATATGATAACAACAATGATAGGCATTTAATAAAGAAAACAAAAAATTAATACTAATGTGTAAACATAATTTGTGTAGTGATTAAGTAATAAACATCTGCTCAGAGTCACGTCTATTATTACTGGCATTTCAATGAGGATCAGCATTTATAACTAGTTTATCCTGTCAGACAAACGTCATCGCCACTTATGCTTTACCGAGCGACTTACGCCTGTTCCATACTGCAGTAAAAAAGGACTCACTACAAATAGCCAAAACCCAACCAACCCCAAATTTGTAAAGCACCAATATTTTTTTGATGATATGATATAAAAAGTGTAGATTTACTGAACAAACAAAAATAACTAAATAAAACACTTACCATATCACCAAAAAAAAAACATGAGAACAAAATAAATTAAAATAGAAACATAAAAAAATTCATAAATTTATTTTAAGAAATAAAACCAAATAGGTATTATTAGCATAAACAAGCCTAAGATCAATCAGAAAGCAGTATACCTCATTAAAAAAAAAAAAAAAAAAAAAAAAAAAATTAAATAACAAAACAACAATAGCTTTAAATAAACTCTAACGCTGTCATAGATACCTCATTCCAAATATGACAACCTTTCAAAAGTGTAGGAAAATAAGCATCCGGCGAAACCCATAATCATAACAATAATTGAAAAATATATGATAGAGAAAAAGAACGTTGCACAAAAACCTTAAAAATGTAAGCGATATATATGTAAACATTTAATGAAGGATATAAAAATATTCTCTGAATAATAATAAAGATTAAAATTGAGCATGGGAAAATTAAAACAAAGCTGAGCAATGAATGCAACAAACAGTAATAATATGAAAATCAGGAGATAAATAATATATCAACAAACACTGCAACAAGACTAACTAAATATTGCAATAAAACCAGATAATTTTAAGCCAAATGAGTGGTTAAAAACTCACCTTGCGTAATAAACAACGATATAAGTTGTAATGAAAAAACGATGTACAAAGCGGGAAAAAAAATTAATAAAAGGTGAAGTTTTCTCTACGTTCCGAACTAAAAGAAACTTTGAGACCATATCTAAATCAAAATTTCGGAAAAGTAATATTTCCCCTACGGTCCGAATTAAAAGTAACTTTGAGACCATATCTAAATCGAAATTTTCGAAAAGTAAAGTTTTCTCTACGTTTTCTCTCTCTCTCTCTCTATATATATATATATATGTGTATATATATATATATATATATATATATATATATATATATATATATATATATATATATATATATATATATATATATATATATATATATATATATATATATATATATATATATATATATATATATATATATATATATATATATATATATATATATATATATATATATATATATATATATATATATATATATATATATATATATATATATATATATATATATATAGGCTTGGTCGGGAAGCGGGTGCGATCGCACTCGATAATTGACCACGGAAACTATATTTACTTGCGAAAAGCCGGCCAGATTTTTCAGGCGTTCTGAGAACATTTCAGTTTATGTATGTTTCCTTGTTTGTCCGCAAAATAATAAGTTCATTTTATCGTAAATTTTAAAAGATTTTGTTTTACTGACGTACATGGAAACTTATATAAACTTGAATGTTGTCAAACATCTTAGTGCGGAAAAATAAATAAAGAATATTCGCGAACACAAAAAACCCGCCAAATTTACGAATAACTAATTCTATTTGTTCAATAAATAAATAACTGAAATTACTAAAGAACTCAAGCGACTGTTCTAGAGTATTCTGTTGAATTATTTTTCAAAATCTTTTTTTGTTTTTTTGTTTTTGTGTTATGTTTTCGTTGAGAATTCTAGCATCAATTGTTTTAAGAATATACTATCAAACGAACAATAATTTTAATACAATGGCTCATTCTCGGAGTCACAAGGGATGTATACAAGGGATGTATTTATATGTATGTAATGTATTAGAAATTGGTTTATTAACTTCAATTATTTTTGCTTCAGCCATTCTTACAAAATCCTTATACTTACACTTAAAGCTTTTTTTTTCTATAAAATACTAGTTAAAGATATAAAGCCACTAAACTAAACATCATCAGCGCTATTGTTAAGCAGTTCCGCTTCCTCCTTACAAAGTAATTTAATGTTTTTCATTTGTTCATCTTACTAAGAAGAATTGTTTCAAATATGTTAAACTTTTCAAACTACGCAAAGCATAAAACAGGTACTGTAAAAACTTTTTTAATTTATAATTAAATTATGTAGCGTTAGTTTTATTGGTTTAATCTTGTTGGACTTTACAGGGCCGGGGGCTGCATTATTTTGGTGGTCTTTTTTATGTGCGACAGCGTAAAAATGACTCAAAAATTCCGATAGGTCCTCTTGACTATTTCTTGGCCCATAACATTGTGTGTCCCGGGACTATAGATCTTCTACCCCCCCCCCCCCACCTCTTGTTTCCAGCATTGGAAATAAGACATAAGTATATAAATAAAAATTATATATAATCTTTGATAAAATGAAGAACATTTGTTTCTTTATTAAACAATCATTATTAGTACGTTGTTACTATATACAAAAAATGTTGCTTTTTTTCAAAAAAAAAAAATTATAAAAGAGCGACGTTTCAAAAATATAGTTGTGCTCGATGACCGTAAATAGTTGTGGAAAGTAGTTGTGCTCGATGACCGTAACACTAACCCTTACGGGCTAGGTCCAATATTATTTAAAAACTTTGGCATATAAAATTTGCCAAATGGTCACACACGAGCAATGAACGCCTGAGGGAAGAATTGAAGTACATTAGAATAAAGGAGAATTATTTATAAGTTAATGCTTATTTTGACTGTTGTCAAGACCATACGTTCCATATTGTTATTAAATTGTTATAAAATGTTTTTTTCTCAACTTATATCAATTTCGGTTGCTAAAAATAACAACCACCCTAAAAAAAGAATACAAAAGTTGTATAAAAATTTAAAAAAAAGTTTAAAAAAATTTTTTTTTTTCAAATTGCTTGGAAGAACCTTGACACTTTTTTTTTTTAATTTTTATTTAGACTTGACTCTCAACATTATGATAAATACAAATTTTTTAATTTTGTTTTCAATATTGAGATAAATAAAACTTTTTTTTTCATTTAGACTTGACTGTCTAGTTTAATCTGGTGCATATATTTTCAATTAAAAAATATGTACAAAATCTTTTAAAACTTTTTCTTTTACTTGTTATTTAAAATATTGAAAGGTTTTCATATTTAACCATGATAATGACCTGTAATCTTTTACATTTGATTATAATGATTATGAAGATGATGATGATGATGATGATGATGATGGCGATGTTGATGATGATGATGTTGATGATGATGATTTGATGATGATGATAATGATGATGATGATGATGATGATGATGATGATGATGATGGCGATGTTGATGATGATGATGTTGATGATGATGATTTGATGATGATGATGATGATGATGATGATGATGATGATGACAATGATGATGATGATGATAATGATGATGATGATGATGATGATGATGATGATGATGATGACGATGATGATGATTTGAAGATGATAATGAGTTATTGTATTTAGATATATCAGAGATATGCACAGCACTCAAAGGTTTTTATCTTACAAATTATGGGAAAATAAATGAAGTTCAAGTACCACTAAAATCACCTGCAAATGTTGATTTAATGCATAAATTCGTTGATCTATGTATTGCTGATGCAGTTAATGCTCAAACAGATGCTGTATTAAGTGAACGCAAAGAATTTCTTGAAAAGCAATTGCGTTTTACACCTATTCCATATAGTGAAATTTTCATGAAAGACAAATCTATAATATTAATATCTGGAATAGCTGGTATTGGAAAAACATGGTTGCTTAGAAAATGTTTGCTTGATTGGTCAAATGGTCTAATTTGGGAAAATGTTAAACTTGTGTTTTATTTGGAATGTAAAAGGCTTAATCAATATCAAAGTATTTCAAATATTAATAAATTACTAAATGTTTTCTACAAAGACATTGTAAATGATTTCGATATTAGTATTTATTCTGCACTGTTTATAATTGATGGATTAGATGAGTTTAAATATCTAAATGAGTTAATAAATTGCAGTTCGAGTTATAACTATCCAATTGTTAATGTTTTAACAGAAATTCAAAAATATAAATATGTAGTTGCTGGTAGAGTTTATGCAATTGATCAGTTTCAAAGTGTATCTACAGAGGATTGTGATAAGATAAACATTCAAATTATGGGGTTTAATGAAGATGGAATAAATAATTATATAGAAAATAATGTTTTAGAGGAAAAAAAAGATTTTGTGAAAACAACTTTGAAGGAATCTGCAATTACAAAATCAATGTCATCTGTTCCATTTTATTTATCTTTCATATGTAGGAATATTAGTAATTCAAAAAATTTATACAAAAATTCTTTTTTAACAATGACAGACTTGTATGCAAATATTTTTTTACACTTTTTACAAAAACACATCATCAAAAACAATGAATCGATTTCTCAATTTATGAAAAACAAATACAATAAAAAATATATTTTAAACATTTGTAAAATTGCATATCAATTGCTTGTTGAAAATAAAGTAATTTTTTCCAAAGAAGACATTCAAACTTTTATCATTGACTTTGATAAAAATGAAGATAATTTTTTAGGATTTACTGAAAGGATTAAAACAAGTCTTGGTGAATATATTTATCAATTTGCACATTTGACAATAATGGAGTTTTGTGCATCTATATATGCATATAATTGTAAAAGTAGTAAAGAGATTATGACCAATGAAAAGCTGAAGAGTTGTTTATTAATGATATGTGGTTTAACCAATAAAAATCAAAATAGTTCCTTAAAATTTCTTGTTAACCTAAATCGTTTAAAAAAAACTTGTGAAGATTCTTTATTTTTGTTTTCTATTTTTGGTAAGTCTATAATACTTTGTTGCATTATTGTAAGTCATTTTAGATAAAATCGATTTATCAAAAGTGTTAGTCTATTAAAATCAAAAGTTTATAAACATTAAGTTTTTTTAAAGCTGTTTAAATTTTTCCTTCTCTAAATGATAGACTCTATTTTTTAGTATTTATTATGTTTGACAATAATTAACACGTTTTTAAGAAAAATTTAAAATAATTAATATTTTTTTAGAAAATATAACAAGTATAAATATCAGTTTTGATAACACTTGAATTCACATGTGTCAGCTATTACACATCTTATTCAGTAGGAGATATAATTATCTGAACATATTAAAAAAAAAAAAAAATAAACAAGTAAACTTTGACAAGTAATTTCAGAAAAAATATGATTTATATAAAAAAATTTATGATTGTTTTAAATGCAATCAAGAATTCATTTAATCAAGAATCATAACTTAAAAGTTAAAATAATTAGATTTATGTGGTAAAAGCTTAACGATGCATTCAAATTTGCATTTTTTAACTTTAAATGAGGGTCCAAACCAAATTTTAATTATTAAACATTTCTACAAGTAATTAAATTTTTTGACTTTTTAATATCTATTTAGACCATCTTAAGCGTTTAAGACTTCTGCATGTCAATTTTGCATTGGTTTAACTAATTTCTTTGTTGTATCTGGATTGATTCAAGACAAGATTCTAGGAGCATGATCAATTGCTCTTTGTTTTGTTTTGAAATAGCCACTTTTTTGATCTAGAATTGCCCATTGGTGTTCAATTGCAATAAAATCTGGACTTTGAGCCGGCTATTCAAAGATAAAAAACACTTCAACCTTCTTTGACGTATGCTTAGTGTTGCTGTCTTGTCTATGCAAATACAAACATTTTTTTACTTTTTTATCAGACTGATGGTTCCTTATGCTGTTTCAGTTGCTTTTTTCATCAACCTTAATGTTTTACCTTGTCATTTCAAACAGTGATTAAATTTGCTCTCAGAACATAACATTATCAAAATCTTTTTTTCATCTTTTGAGAAATTAAAGTTTATTTTCGGAATAAAATTTTTTGTTTGGGAATTTGTTTCTTTTAGATATTGGGTCAAGTAAAACTGACACTTTTTATATCTTGAATTAAAAAAGATTGGAACAAGCTACAAAGTTGATTTTTTTTTTTTTGTTGAATGCAATGAATTAGCATTGAGTCTAGAACAAAAAGACATAAAGAGAAAAAAAACTTTTCAGTACAATAAAATTTTCAAATTTTTCTTTTAATGGGAGTCATATGATTTTGCACTATGTGAAATCCATACTTTGTGATCAGTACTTTTTTTTTTTTTTTTTTTTTATTTGCATTCACTCCCAACAAGTCTGCAAGCAACCACTATTAAGTTGGGAGTTACAAGGAAAAAAAAAAGAACAGAGTTATAGAGCAAGGAAACGGTTGACAGTAGACTTGAAAAGTTGAAGGTTGTATGAGTCAGGAAAACATGAAGATGGGAGAGAGTTCCAAAGGATTGAAGTGCAGGGAAAAAAACTAGATGAATAAAAGTTTTTAGAGCATGCAGGGACAGATACAGTAAACAAATGAGACTTAGCTGAATGACGAGTAAAACGAGAATGAATTTTAGTTGATGGAACTAGAGATGATAACTCCTTTGAGCAGTGACCATGATAGTATCTAAAGAAAAGAGAAAGAGATGCAACTTTACGACGATGGGAAAGAGGTTCAAGCTTAGCAGATAGTCTAGGTCCAATAACATTTACAATGCGTTTTTGGACCTTGTCAAGAAGAGAAAGTGAATCGTTAGAAGAACCAGCCCAAATATGACAACAGTATTCCATACAGGGACGAATAAGAGATTTGTAGAGGTAGAGAATGGAATCAGAAGTAAGAAAATGGCGAGCACGATAAAGAGAAGCAACCTTAGCAGAAGCTAATTTAGAAATCAATTGTATATATGGTTTCCATGAAAGGTCAGTAGTAAGCGATAATCCAAGAAGACGTAAAGAGGACGACTCAGTAAGAGGATTGCCATTCATTAATATAGGAATGTTGACCATATTACGGTAGTTGTTTGCAGTAAGCAATTGGTTTTTTTAGAGTTGAAATTCACAAGCCACTGTGAACCCCAATCTATTACTGAACAGAGATCAGATTCAAGATCAGCTGCTTGTTCTAGGCGATCGAAAAGAGAAGACTTTTTGTCAAGACAGGAGTATAAAGTTGAGTCATAAGCAAAAAGAGCTACTTTAGATAAAAGGAAGATCGTTTATGTAGATAAGAAACAAAACAGGGCCCAGGATAGAACCTTGGGGAACCCCAGAAGTTACTGGAAATAAAGAAGAGTGTTGGCCTTCAAGGATGACTTTAATAAACCGGTCAGAAAGAAATGATTTGATAATCTCAAAAACTTTCCCAGAAATACCATATGAAGCAAGCTTATGGAGAAGACCAGCATGCCAAACTTTGTCGAAAGCTTTAGATATGTCGAGAGCAATAGCCCTAGCCCTAGCCTCACTGCCTCCATCTAAATTTAATTTCGTTCACTTTTTACATAATTGGGCTTTAATCACCTAATATTATTTAAAAACATATTCAATTTTTGCTAATTTTTTATGATTGACATTCTACTTCTATTTTAAAAATTTAAAGATATAAAAAATAATAGTCTTTGCAAAAGTTTCTTTGCGTATAAAGATACGCAACTTTTCTTTCATATTTATGCTATTCAAATTTTGATTGGGTAAATTTGATTTTTAATCGTTGCGTTTTAGAAAAAAAGTTTTATCTGAAGTCTTTTTTTAAAAAAAACGTTTTAAATAAGTAAAACTTCAAAAAAAGAGTTTTATCTGAAGTCTTTTTTTAAACAAATCGTTTTAAGTAATCAAAAAGACAGATTGCTTCAAAATATTTTAATTTCCTTTTTTTTTATTTATTTTCAATCGCTACTCAAGTTATCAAGAAGGCTATTCAAGATTTCATTTTTTTTCTCGTTTTTCTTTAATGAAGTCAAGAATAAATCTTCTTTTAAACTGCCAGTCAGTAGAAGTTCAGTAAAATTCTAAAGGTTTAACAACTTTAAAGATAAACAGGCTAAAGAAATACTGCTACCTAAAAGGCTTTATAAAAAACAAACTGGGTGATCAAATTTTGAAATTTTTTGCTTTACTCTAAAACGTAGGGAATAGCTTGTTAAAAAAAATTCTAGAAGATTGATTGTATCATTCTTGCTAGAGTAGTTTGGCAAAAGTTAGCCTCAGGACTTCAAAAAAAAAGAAAAGTATTATGTGTTTCGATGATAATGGAATATGCTTAGTATTAACTTTCTGATTAAGTCGTTGCAGTTGGAAAGCTTTCGAAAAAATCCATTTAATTTCAACAGTAGATATAATTAATTATTTAAACCATATAAAAAATGAAGGTTTACGTAGTTTAAAAATATTTTGGAAAATTATTGTCCAATTATTTGTCCAAAAAGTTGAAACAATGGAATATAGTTGAAACCAGCTACAAAAACAAATGGATAACAATGGAAGAATAGCAAACGTTACATCAGGTGTGCAAGATGAGTTCTGTTTTAGTTTAATTAAAGTTACAAGGCAGCTCATTTAGCTGTAAACTAGACATTATTGAAGTAGATAAAGATAAGTTAAAATGAAAAAAAAGTTCGAAAAATGAGGTTCTTTATTTTAGGGATACAATGTAGGTCATTGTCGCGGAGATCTATTCTGTTTAAATACATGATTGTTGATATAAAAATACAAACATCCATCGTATGTCTACCAAAGAACACGCTCATAACTTAGATGTTCTACATGGAAAGTTCCTGCAGCAATCTCTATCACAAATGATGACTTTTATAGTTATTTTCCATTTTCAATAGTATATAACGAACTGTATAAATTATTTTTATAAATAATGCCTAATTTTTTTTTTAATTATAAATCATTGTTACTTATAAATCGTATTATTGTATTATTGTATTATCAAACAGAAAAAGATTTTTACTTTTCTTATATTTAATGATAATAATAGTTTCATTTATTTTTAAAAATGCCTTTTTTTGTCAAAAAATGAACTTTTAATAAAATTGAAGTAGAAGGCTAAATAATTAAAATGAAAAAAAATGATAATTATTTTTTAGAATCAGCATGAAAAATTAATTAAGAAAAATTGGTTAAACTATAAAAAATCTGAAAAAAGATGATTATGAACCCCCACCCCCCTACTATTAATACTGGCGTTTCGATGAGGATCAGCATTTATAACTAGTTTATCCCATCAGACAAACGTCATCACCACTTATGCTTTACCCCACAACTTACACCTATTCCATACTGCAGTAAAAAAGGACTCACTACAAATAGCCTCAACCCAACCATCCCCAATTTTGTTAAGTACTAATATTTTTTTGATGATATGATACAAAATTAACTAAATAAATCACTTACCATACTACCGAAAGAAAACATGAAAACACAAAAAATTAAAATTCTAGTTTAAACACAAGTATACTAATAAATTTATTTTAAGACATATAAAACTAAATATATTTATGAGATCCATACTTTGTGATCAGTATGTAATTTTGCTCTTACATAATTCAGCTTTAATAATTGCCTAATATTGTCTAATTGGATGAAGCTCAGAACAATTTTCAAGTTGTGCATTCTAGGTATGAAATTGATACTATCAGCATTGTAGAAGTTTAACATAGATTTGGAGTAATGACAAGATGCTAAGTCAGGCAAATAATTCCATTACCGTTGCTGGTGTTCCACAATGGCAATAATTACTTATATAGATACTCTTTTATAAATTTCATTTTTTATTGTAGAATTAGTGACAAAACTTTGTGTTTTCAATATACATAAATTTTCAGGGAAATCTTTTTACTTTTATGAAATAAATATTAAAATTTGGCCTTTGTCTTTTTTTTCTTCAGACAATAGTTTAAATAATTTTTATGCACAGCTTTTTGCTACAAAGTTTTCTTTAGCATTGTGAGCTGGGGCTTTATACATCTTGAAGGACTTGATTTTATGCTTTTTCTTGATAGTACCATTATCTGTGATTATTATTAGTGATTTATCTGCTAGTTTTGAATTTTAGAGTCCAATCTGTCTGCTAGTTTAATTTTTATTTTTTTGAGCTAAATCTTGCTCAGAAATGTTAGTATTTGCCCTTATTTTTGGCAAAACATTCATCTTCAGTTGTTTATTAATGTTCAAATTGTTGCAGCTTTCGCTCTTCTATTTAT